CCATACAAAAAAAGAACATGATATATAGTATTTGCCTGTCTTTGCATGCGTAAAGTTACGTCAAATTCTTTCTAAATATATCTCTAAAAATAAAACTATCCGCAGCAGCAGCATCTCATACACATAGTATCTGTATCCGGAAGGGTACTAACGTATAATGTACAGAAAATTTTATTTCAATAAATTATTACTTTTTTTTAAAAAAATTGTTTAACAAATTAAATCATTAAAAGAAATGAGACTGTGGAAGCAGTATATAAAAAATGTGCATTGTGGAAGGATTCGTTGGGGAATTGGATTGTGTGAGGAAGGGAAGGGAAGCGCATGCAGTCGTCAGTGCACATGCAAATGGGTATTGACTGACATTACTTATTTTTACTGATCCATTCATTGTTCATCATAGTTTTTTATTTTTTTTATTTTTTTTATTTTTTACTGTTCCACCACCAACACCAAACATGCACCCATGCAAAATTTTAGCAAAAAATTTCCCCTTTTCCCTCTCATCCACTCTCATCCATCCATCATAAATTAGCCTTTCTAAATTTTCTATAGCCTCCACAACGCATCCAATGTTATGTAAACTAGTGAAGAGAAGAACTATATATGTGGGACTAACAAAGAGAACTGATTCACTCTCCCCAATTTAATGTTATAGTGTTCCTCTGCAAACACATTAAGGGTTGATGTATATCATGCTTCACCCTTTGTAAAGAATTATGAGACAAAACTATTAGAACAAAGAAAAAGAAAATGATTCCTTTTTACACAAAAGAAATGAAAGAAAGAAAACTAGAAAATAAGATTATATAGGGGCTCAGTTCCATGTTCCTTAATTTGGAGATTATTGATTACCATTGATGATGACAATATGACGAGAGTCATTACGGAGCTCCCATTTATGTCAATTCGTATTCATGTTTGATATACAAGTGCTTTTTCACTGTTCATGCGGAAAAAATATACTAATTGTGATAATACAAAAAGGAAACGGCACCCCAGAATGATGTAAAAATTACGTGTAAATCAATTGGCCTCTAAGATGACTATATTTTTTGTTACAGTATTCATCATGAATCATAAACTGCTAAATACCACACTTTTTGTCAAGAAGTAAACATGATTAAGGAATATATATATATTTATTCTGTATATTTGATCCTATCATGTTAAATATTGCAAGAGAGAGAGTTAGCAATACGCTCCGAAATCTTTGAAAATTTTTCGAAATGTGCGAGACACTATATGCTTTTAAATTCAGCATTTTCTAACTTAAAACTGTGCAAGACATATCTCGTGCAATTTAACACCACCACCCAACCCCAACCACCTAAAGAGAAAAGATCTTTAAAAAAAAAACTTTGTAGAATTGAAGCAAATGAACCTTCAGATCATTATTATCCCGTGCATTCATTATACACTGGAACTATACAAATATAGTTGAGTGATGTAATGTTCAATTTATCCCATTTGCATGCTCTATCCCTTTTATGGTATTGTTGTTATCATCACTAACATTGTCGACAGAGATGACCATATACATATATATATATATATATATATATATATGTACCCCCCAAAAAAAAGACCATTTATACTGAGAAACTAATATTTCCTTTTTCTAGTCTCTCTTCGTCTTTCTTTCTATTTTTGTGAATATCCACCAAACCTCATCATATTCATATGCTCTGCATTAACTCCACTTTCACTGTCAGTCTCGTCAATTGATTTCTTTCGATTAGTCAATAGAAAATGGACCAATCTTTTTTATTTATAGTCTTCCTGAGAATTCAACGACGAGATCGATTTTATTTTTCTCGGACAAAAGACAAAACATATCACTTGTTACCCGTATTTAATTACGAGAAGAGTGTTTAGTTTGAAAACTCAGATTACCACTTGATTTCTAGAGAAGTTTATGTATATTTCTATATATGTTATTATATACATATCTATATATCTATATATATATATATATCCTTATTAATGTAATCATTCTGATTTCTAATCCACATGAGGCGGATCCATTGTAAATTGGGGAGCTACAAAATTTGGGGATGCCCATTGTGTATTGTCACAAAACAAACTATAGCAACATAATAAAAATTTAATGTCACGAGAAAAAGGATTTGTTGAAAAATGTCGTTACAACCTCTATCACTCTGGTAGTGGAAGAGAGAGGGGTTAGAATTGTAAAAACATCATGGGTAGGGTTAAAAACCAAACTTCGTCATCATTATCACAAAGCCTGCAGCTCGCGCGATCAACACATAAAGTAATAATAATAGTAGAAAAGAAACAAATGAAATGAAGTTTGATTAATTAAAAGCAGAAAGGCAGAGCTTGGATCCCAAAGCTTGTAATTTATGAATTGATTTTGAAAGTAATTCTATCTAATCCATGCCCATGCAGTAATGCACCCTCCCCAATGTCACGCCTCTCTTCAATTGTTCCCAACCAGCTCATTACTTTAACCTATAAACATTCCTTTCAAAAAATTTAAAATAGTCAAGGGGTTATTAAACATCTGTATCGAGCTGGCTAGGCACTTATCCTATGATCAAAACTTAATTAAGTGATTTATTTCAGGACAATAAGTCGTATTAGTTAAGTCCAACAATACGAAAGATCTTACATTATCGAGATCGAAAATTATTTAGTCTGGCAAAATGAAATACGTTGATGATGGATCAATAAATTTAGTCTATTTAATTTTGCGTTATTCATAATGTAATACTTAGATCAATAAATCAGTCGATGTAATTTTGTACAACTATTTTATAATTTTATATTTTCTCCGACTTTTTATATAAGACATTTTGATTTATCCTAAATTTAACTTAGTATACATACATTTTTAATTAACAAAAAGAAATCCTAAAAATATTTCGTAATAATTGAAAGAATACAACAAATGTGAAAATATATTTTTAAGATTTTTTCGTCAATTAAAAATATCTTATATTAAGATCTGAAAGGATTAGTACTAAGTAAATTATCTGTGGTACTGATTTAATTCAATAAAGCGGACTCTGTGTTAGGACGGATGTAGTATTCTGAATAGCACAATAGAGGAAGGGAGACATCCGGTCGCTGGGCTGCTGCAGTGATCAGAAATGGCAGCAGAGAAGGCAGAGGAAGCTAAGGGAAGGGTATAGATATTTGATTTGATTTGATCAGTGTTTTGTGTTTGACAATTCAGAAAGGATTAATAGTATTACAAGTGCAGGGAAGGTGGGAGGCACATGCTTTGTGTTTTAATCCCAGAGTGTCATAAAATTCTTACCAATAAGTTTTCTTTTCTTCTTTAGAAAAAATAATAAATAAAATAAGTAAATAAACCCACACGTCCCTGTGATCCTTCTGCAGCTTCTTCTCGGGTTTAGGGGAAACATAATCATCACCATGCATACCCCCTAACCACCCCCCCCCCCCATTCGTTAATTTAATAATCATCACCAAGTACCACCTATCAAAACTTAATTAATCAATATAATACTATTTTCTCTCATATACTTCTTCGTCCCATTTTAATTTTTACTTGAAATTGTATAATATAAGCTGTTGAAATGGAACCGAGGAAGTACTTCATTTTTTAATGATTAACTACCACTAATTAATAACCTAGTACCTACATATGCAGGCCTATGGTTTGCTTGTTGTATTTGTGCTTTTCTCAATGTCACCATAACAGGTTGTAATCCTTATTCTAATGTAACTAATCAGAGCAGTCACTCATGTCATGCTAACCATTCGGGCAGTATTTTAAGCACCAGTGACGTACTATTATTAATAATAATACTTTTATATATTTGTTAATGTTAATCAGTGCCTAAGACCTTTTGTATCATGTTCGTTCTTATAGTACTTACTGGTGAATGGTGAGTCTCTAAATTTATACGTACTTAATTTATGCTTATCGGACCATGATTTATACCTATATTATCCCTTTATTCTAAAATAAGTATCGTTTTATTAAAATAAATAAACTTTAAAATAATATAATAATTTACTTATCATATTTAAAAGTTTCTTTAAACTATAAATTGTCTAATGATATTTAGTTTAGAATTAAAAAAGTACTCTCTCAAGTACTCTCTCAGTTCTAAAATTATTGTCTACTTTGAGTTTTCATTTCAAGTACAAATTATACTAAAGTGAAAATCTAAATTGGACAATAATTATGGGATTGGAGGAATACTATTTTTAATTTAGCAACATTAATAGCAAGCAACACGTAATGTTCATTGATTTGGTTCTCTGTGGAAAAAGTAGCACGAGCTAGTTTATATTATGCGAGAAAATACGTCGTACAATTGCATACATTGTAAGAACTTTATAATGAAATTCATTATTAAAGGTGAATAATAAGATGCAAGTGGTAGTCGACCATTCGTGAAAAGTTAATTAGAAACCCATATGGCTTGGAGAGAAATTCAAACAGGTTACGGACTTCTGACACAGTGTATAGAGTTAACTTGTTCCAATTTTACAAAATTTTCAAACTTGACCTCTATTTGGTTATCAGAAAATAAAAATTGAAAATAGATGAAATTAATGATTAGTGTTTTGAACAACACCAAAGAAGCTAAAAGGGATTGGAGGGCTTTTTGTGATATCTCATAAAAGATGGAAGTTTTGTCGTAATTTTTTTTGCACACGATGGGAGTTCGCCCACAATACTGTATTCTTTTTTTCTTTTGTGTGTCAAAAAGAAAGAAGAAAATTACTTAATAAAGAAAGGAAAAGAAAAAAAAAAGAGTGGAAAGATTGGAAAATAGCAAAGGGTACGTATTGTTCATGTTGATGAGACTATACTCAACCTCCATGAGGATGATCCATGGATCCACATCGACACAGAATAAATGAACAAATCAACATTGAATATAAAAGTAAATAAAATATATGAATGACAGGCCACCATATACACTATTTCATCATTCCCTCCGCTCTCTCACTCTCTCTCTGGCTTTGATGGGTCCTCACAAACTTCCAAACTAAGAGAATTAAGAGAAAGAGAGATTTGGAAATATATATTTATATATAAATCCCCAAACTACCTGTCTGTCCAAACTCATTTGTCTTTTTGATTCACCAAAAGAACATAACACACACACACACACACTTACACATTCAAATTCCCAGTCGGGTTTTTTGGTCAATGGCTCATTCTCTGTTGTCATATTTTTGTACGTGGGAATATCTGTGTTGTTGTTGATTTAAATTCCCCGTAATTATTTCATCCACAATAAAAACATGTCTGCAGTTGGAACATACTTGTACTTCATCTTCTCCATCTTGACCAACATCATCAAAGTTTTTTGATTGATTAATTTTGGTTAAACATCTTGTGCATACATTTGTACCTCACATCTACATATGTATATATGACCTTTTCCATCTCTTCATCTCAATATTCCAGTTGATCTTTTATTAAATTCCATGGCTTATGAACACTTTGATGATAAGCCCAAACAGAAACTTTTAATCATCAGTAGTACCACTTATTTGAAACAGCTAGGAAACATCATAGGAGAAACAGGAGATTTGGTTTTGGGGTTTTCTTCTTCAATATGACCATGATTAATCCTAGTCCTGCATCTGCTTCTCCTCCTCATCATCATCATCATCAAGGTTTTTCCAAACAGCAATTTTCTTGTATCAAAAGGGTTTATGTTGTTCCTGAAGACAATAACAACAACAACAACAACAACCACAAAACTAACAAAGAAGATCGTTTGATCAGTGTTATGAGCCGGATTGAAGAAGAAGAAGAAGAAGAAGAAGGTGGATATGGTTGCACTAATGCTAGCAAAGTCGTACCTGAAACCACTGCTAATCTTCTCATAGATAGAAGATCTGATATTTCAGAATCAGAATCAGAAGGAGAAGAAGAAGATCATCAGCAAAATATACTAATGGCTGATCAACAACAACAAGAAGAAGATGATTCCAGAACTAAAGAAAGTACTATGAATATTGAAGCGACAACAACTGCATCTGCACCCACAACTTCTTTACTATTAAGGGATATTGCGGATGATGATCATCAAGAGGATGAAAACTGGCTTCAACTTAGCATTGGTGGTGGCAGCCGCCGTGAGACTTCTCATAACGGCCGCCACCATCGAAAAAGTTCTTCCATGGTTGAGCTTGATTTATTACCGGGGATCAGTTCTAGTAGTACTACAACTACTAGACCTAATAATAGTACATCAGCTGTTCCTACCTCTTCTAGTTCTATGTTTCATTCGCCGGATTTCGGAGCTCATCTTGCTTTGAGGCCGCCGCCTCCGCCGCCGCCTTTTGCCAATATAGTCGTAACTGGCGGCAACGGCAACGGAAACGGCGCGTCTTCTTCTTCGACTAATTACTATAATTATTATTACAGTTCGGGTATTACTAATAATAATAATACGTCTTTGTTTATGCCACAATATCATCATGGTCATGGAGATCAGCTTGAGTTCAACTGGGGCGCCGGCTGTTTTAGGCCGTTTCATCTTCAGACGAATATGCTATCACCATCTTCTTCTTCTTCTAGATTAGTTCCAACGGCATCATCGGCGGGTTCTTATTTTGCACCAAGGCCCTTCTTATTCCATGCCGGACTAGGTCTTCCCGCCGGACCACCGCCCCGGCAGAGTACCATTGATTTCAGAGTCATTGATCCACCTCCCCGGCGACCCTTTTCTGGCATTTGGTTCACGCTGCAAGCTGCTAACCATCAGTAAGTTAAAACAAAATGAAGCAGCCTTTTTTTTCTGTTTCATGTGCTCATTTAATTTGCTCGTATTTTTCTTCATTTTCTAATAGAAACAATATATTGATAGTGATGGTTTTTTTTTGCTTTTTGGTTCTTGGCCTTACACAGAGCAAAAGAACCGTTTCTTCCTCAGATTCCCAAGAGCTTTTTGCGAATCAAGTAATCCATCGATCTCTTATCCGTTTCTTCACAATTGATTTGATTTCCTTTTCGTGTTCCTCAACTTGGAAAATGAACTAACGGGCGTATATCTTCGTTAATTTTTTTTGTTTAGGGATGGAAAAATGACGATTAGATTAGTAATGAAGTATCTTGCTAAAAAGTTAAAGCTGGAAGATGAATCCGAGGTACGTACACGTATTTTTTTTGATTTTGATTATGCGCCATTTGCCTGCTATATGTGAGATTAATTGCCATGGAAGTTAATACACTTTTGAACAGTATTAATGATTTAGTTCTCATCTTCTTTTTGGGGAAAGTCTTTTTTTGGCATATAATATATGGGCCATTAATTGTTCCAGTGTCGAAAAATTCAATTGAAGAAGCTCAAACACCAAATGGTTGACATACCCATGTACTGATGTACATGAGTGATGGTTGGTGTTAGAGAACGAAAGAAACATAAGAACTAAAAGGGGTTATTTTCCTCACATATATTTATGACTCGTGAGATAACATCAAAATTAGGTGACAAGTTCATTTCTGGCTGGGTAGAGCCACTCATCGGTCTGGTCTTTATGATATTATTAGCTAATTAGGACTAATTTAGCTTTTGATTAGAAGTTAGGTCTTTGCGAAGAACGATTGAATTAAATTGGTGTGCTTGACCAATTTAATTAATGGAAGAACATTCTTGACCTCGATATCCTACCTATTTTTCATAAATTTCATAATAGATGTAATTATTATGTAGTTATATAGGAGCTTGTGGGGGGTAGGGGAAAAGGGTTTAATGCAAAATGCATGTAGTGTAGGGGAGAAGTGAAGAAATGTGAAAATTGTAGTGGGAGAAAAGAAAACAACATTCCACCTTCTTCAACATATACGTATTAACCCCATTCATGAAAGGTGTTTTATAGATAAATAAATAAATGTATTTATATATTGAATTGATAATTATATAGTCAGCCTAGGTAGTGATTGTTGTTGTTGGTGGTAGCTACATTAAGTACAATTCCTTATACTTGCTTCCTATAAATATGAAACAAATCTTCGTATTCATATTATTGTCTGGCCTCTGCATTCAAAACTTTCATCATTCCATTCGATTTGCATGTATTCATCACCAGCCCTCAATTGGAATAATTAATTGCCCGCAGAGACTATCCAAAAATACTCTTTCTTTTTCTTCCTTTTTTTTCCCCTCTTTACCCGTAAGCACACACCTCATCCCAAACAATATCGATTCACGTACTCAAAAACTTATCATTAGTGTTCAGTACGTACCTATATATATTCTCAATCATCAGAAAAATACATTTCCCCCACTCGCTGATTAATTTAGTCATGTGGTTCTTTTATAAGGTTTAGTTAGACTTCAGGAATTTAATTTTTTGAACTGGTATTCTCTAAGGAAAGACATTTTTTTTTTCCTTGTAATCTTCTCCATCTTTCCGGTCGCGTCCTATGAAATACATATACTCATTCTTTGAGATTAAGGCTAAGTACAACATATAACAAGGCCATGCATTATTTTATAAAAACCTTACTTAACTCATGGCATCTTTTGTGTTAGACCATATTATTTTTCCTATTAGAATAAAACATATAGTTTTAAAATTATCTGACCGGGAAGCATGCCCGTTCATTAATCTAGAAGAAGTCCATAAATCGACCATCAATAATAATAGTTTGTATATAGAACCAATTCTGAAAATAAGACTTCAACTAGCTAGCGCTCGTATTTCTCTCCGAAATTTTGTATGGCCAGATGGAAAAATGATATAGTTTTGGCACGAAATCATATTTGGGAGCGATATTAAAACTATATACAGTTCAGAATCAATTTTGGCCACGATCCAAAATAAATTAATCTTCCCACCAGCTAGTAGTTTTATCTCTACTTTTTGTTATTGGAAGAAAAACATGTATGGTTGGGGCAGGATAGAATTAATGTAGAACAAGAAGCGGAAGGAACCGTATTATATCTTACTATATGTTTATTATATATTCTCCAACCTAGGCATTGACTTTAAAGTTTTTAATATATAAGAGACATGCAAGGAAGTTATATGGCCCTAACGCTCCATCTTAATTTAATTTAAAAACACCTCAAGGGACATTAGTTGTGTTGTTTCTATTTGCTAAACAATTAATTAAATACGAATTTTGATAAATCAAAAGGACCACTTCTGACGACTTATTAATTCGATCCATCACTGATACAGAAATTTTCTTCTACGTTAAAGATTCTTTCTTGTAGACTTAATCTTACGTCTCCTCCGAAATCAATTATCGTAAATCGATTTTTATTTTATTTTTTGGGTTGATAAAGAGAACTTGCATGCATGTTTACATCAATTGGAAATTTGGGATAAACTGATCTAAGTACCAACCTATTAAAATATTATGGTGAAAACTATCTGTCATTTGTCAAGTATGACGTGAAAGAATGAATTGGCACAACCAAAATTCATATCTTAATCGATTTCTAGTTGGAGAGAATATTGAATGCATGTTCTCAAATGCCATCTGGTGAAGTTGGTCATTAAGATATATATTGTTCTAGTTATCCTTTGAAGGCATGAACGTATAGTTTGATAGAACCTTGATTGACTCTGTGTATTTTATCCTATTTGTAGCTTATAAAAAGAAAAATTCATCCACGTACAAATGTGACCTACGACATTCCCTTCTTTTGTCTCATTACAGATTTGAACATTCTCATATGATTTGGTCAACTCTGTACGTAAAATCTCAGTAATAGAATATAGTTTTGGATGCTTCCACGTAATTATAACCTTAATACTTTAATTCCATGAAGCAAGGAGTACGTTGTGAGACCGACGACGTTGTTGCATTTCTAAATTAACTAGACACCCAAGAGCATTATTCCTGCAACCACTAAGATAATTAACTACAGCTAACAAATTATAAATATAAATGATCCTCCATGATCTCACGATAAGGAGTAACATATATATAAATGACTTTGTTAATAAAAAAAAAAATTAAACCGACAGCCAACCATATATTCTGTTTACTATGAAGTAATTATATAGAAATATTCAACCTGCATAGATTAGTTAGAACACATAAGCTACCTAACGAATGAGGAGGGGTAGCTAGCTAGATAATTAGGAAAATTCTTTATGCACGAGAAATTTATGAGAGGAAGAGGAAAGAATAATTAGTTAGGGAAAGGTTGCATCTCTTTCAGGGTCCAACCCTGCAATGCCTAAGGCGTTTGCCAAATCCTTTTAAACTTCAACGGATGATATTTTATCGGACTTTAGAAGTATTACGTTGTTGAAATTACTCGAGTAACTATATGTTTTCGGAGGACATTCATTCAACTTAAACGTAGGAATAATTTTCTCATTTAGAAGTTAGTGTCAACCAACGTTAGAACGCAAGTTTTGTCCTAATGCATGGTTTGGGTTTGGCCTGTAGCGGCCATGGTTGACTATCTCCTCGAGTCACTCAACATATAGAGGACATTATTAAGGTTTATTTCTTTTCCTTACCCTGTTCTTTTTGTCTTTGAAAAGGGCGTAAACAAGAATAATATTGTTTTTTTTTTTTTGTTGAAATAACAAGAATATCAATGTGGGTTTATAAACTTTTCATGCATGCGACTGCCCAGAGTGCCAGCTTTCTGGCTCCGACCTTGGCATGCAAACGAAGTTACCCAATGATTGCGGGGGCGACTCGTTAAGAATGGAGGGGTTGGATTTTAATCATTCGAATATATGAGAGAACAAAAAGAAAAAGATAAATCATGAACAGAAATTTTCCTTCATTATTGTTCTTTTTTTTTTCTTACTAAATGGCTTTTTTTGGGGGTGGGGGTCGATCTTTCTTCGCTTAATTTGCTTCTTTGATTAATTTGATGTCTCCAAATCTACAAAAGATATTACCTTATAGAATCATAATATTATGAATTTTTATGTGCAACATACAGTACATATTACATTTACGACTTGAAATATATATATATATAAAAGCTCATAATTCAAGTCCTGAGTTTGAGTTTGGTAGGGGAATAAGTTGACGCTTCTACTCTGTTAGGCTTATGGGTATTTCTTTGCTTCACGAATTCTTGTCCATGCATTATGGACATAGAACTTAATGATTTGCATGATTAGCAGCAACCAGAAGAAAGATCTTAGGATTGGAATCAAAATTGACTGTGCTAATGATTGATACAAATTAAGTAGGCACGTTCACTTGTGATAATGAATCCTATATGGCAATGATTAATAATATTAGTAAAGAAATATGTAGATGAGTTATAGAGTGTGACAAAATCTACTCAAGGAATACAATAAATTCAATTGATTATGCTCCATTATCATAAACTTATGACATCAAATTTAAAATTAAAAAAAAACTATTCTATCCATCCCAAAAAGTGGGGGTTTATTTTTATTAAGTCATTTAAATATAAACAAAAGACTTTCTTGTCTTTGGACGGATGAAATGTTTTTGTAAAAATAAGCAACTCACACAAAAGATGTAATCTCCAAATTAAGTCAAGCCAAAAGTCTCCAATTTTTTAGATTAGGGTTATCAATAATGATGATTGATGAAGGAAAGCTAAAGAAGCTACCCTTTTTGTATCTTTATGTATTGACTTTATTATGTGCCAAAAGAGAAAAAAGAATAAGGCCCTATAGCGCTCTCTATTGTCGACGTACACTTATCTTATGGCTAAGTTGACATAAAGTTAAATTAGACGTTAACTGTTCGATCCAAAGAAATCACAATCAAATCATAATAATAATGTCTAGATTTATTCTTTGAGGG